ACTCTTTCTAACACCGTTGGAATTTTCGGATTCCGATGTTCCAGTGAGGAGTTATCATGCCCGCCATCAAAAATAAGGACTTTTCTTTAATTACAAAAAACAACAACAAAACAATAACAACAATTGTTTGTAAATTATTTTTCTTCTTTTTTAAATCTTCAAATATATATGTGCAAAGTTACAAACCTTAACAAGCATTGGTATTGATTTACCAGCCCATTGAAAATCTTGAAAAATTAAAATCGATTTGAAAATGAAATTAAAATCAGTTATTATACCACTTTATGATGGAGGATAGAACACCGGTAGAATATCTCATTCTGTATGTACATAAATGTTCTTCGATTAATTTTTATGTTTTATACAGCGAATCTTATAACCCTTTTACCAATGTACAAAACCACAACACACTTTACATCATCCCAAAAATAAAATAACAACAACTACAACAACATCACAAATATTTCTTATCTCTTTTGTTTTGTGTCGTGTCAAACAAAAAAGCAAACCTTCAACTTGAATTTGAAAAAAATCGACACTGACCGACAAACGAAATGAAAGTGCAATGAATTGGGTAGATATATGATGGGTGTGTTAAGGGAATAGCTATAAACACTGAGAGAAACAAAACAAAACAATATTAGCAACGGAACATAAATTTAAAATATAAGAAATTAGAAAAATTTTCAAAATAATATAAAAAAATAAATAAAAACAAAGAAAAACTTAAATTTAAAAAAAAATAAAAAGTGCAATCTAATTAGAATAAATATTACAATTTATTATATTTTTTAAGTATATGGACATGAACGCCTCTAGTTAAGCATACATGTAAATTATATATGTTTAACAATATAGATTAATTAAAGGTGTATTTACAATACATATATAATTTTCGTTCGCCATGTGATTGACGGAATAGGAATTTTATTTGAATGAAACTAATTAAATGCTTTGCATCAAAGACCACATGAATCGTTTACAAAAAAAAAAAAAAAAAAAAAAAAAATACAAAAAAAATACAAAAAAATTAAATAATCAAATGTTTTATTTTATTTGATGTCGTTGTTGTTGTTGTTGTTAGCCAAAGAAAGATTGTTCACATCAGGTTTTTTTGGCGACCATTGCTTGGCATTAATTTATTTAAATTTCGGTTGACCACGCGTAATTTTTTGATGAAATTTTCAACATCCAATTAAATGATGCTACTCGTAAACTATACAGATGGTTTGCATATTAGAAGCAAATATATATCTCTTTTGTTTTCTAATACATACAAGTGTCTGTGTTTAAATGTTGTCATTTAAGATTATGACTGAAATATGTTCTTCAGTGGGCATTTTCAATTTATCGCAATTTAAAAATAAAAAAAAAATTGAACAAAAAATACAAACTGAAAGATATAAGCATTGTGTCTGTTTCAATTTGTTTGCCAAAACAAATTTTATTTCAAAAAAATATTCTTTCCAGTCGTTTTATAAAAATAGAAAATGGGGACAATAGGTATGTATATACAGAGGAATAAATATATTTTATTTTTTAAAAATACTTGTTAAGCATCCTCTATAAGTCGATTTTTTTAAAATATTGTTTTTAAAGATAATACTGAGGTAGTATTTTTATACCCTACACAACTATTTGTTAGGGTATTATAGCTTTATGCAACCCCAAGAGTTTGTAACGCCGCGAAATATTGGTCCTAGACCCATCTTTAAGTATACCGATCGTCATATCTCGACTAGCTGAGTCGATCTAGACATGTGTGTCCGTCCGTCCGTCCGTCTGTCCATTATAATTTGTAAACACGATACAGGCCACAGTTATGGACCAATCTTCACGAAATTTTGCATGTAGGATGGGTTGTGGCCAATGAAGACCCCTTTTGTTTTTGGTAAAGATCGGTTAATATTTTGGGGATTTAATGGACCAAATACATACTTTTTGTTTGATTTTCGGGTCGCTCCAGAGGCCGCAATTATGGCCCAAACATCGCGAATTTTTACATGGAGAAGGGGATAGGGCCAAGGAATAAGCATGCCTTTTTTGATAAAGATCGGTCAATATTTAGCGGGTCAAATAGACCCAGACTTTTCTGTGAAAAATTACAAAATTTGTATTCTATGGCGTATGTATTTACTCGTGAAGGACATTAACCCAAGAAGTTGACAGTAGTAGTGGTTGGCCTTTAAATTGATACCAATTATATTGTCGTATGTAATCGGATGTGGGAGTTACACGTAAATATTTTAAGGGGCTAACGTATCCAGTATTATTTAGTAAACTATTACCACACTAGAGGTCAGAAATGTAGCGAAATTTTCCATGAGGTTCCAGTTATGGTCAAGGACAACGCCTATAATTTTCGATGGCGATCAGATAATAATTTTGGGATGAAGTGAACCACACTAGAGGGCGGAAATATAGCGCTGATCGCTTTGAAATTTCCCACGAGGTTCCAGTTATGTTCATGGACAACGCCTATAATTTTCGATGGCGATCAGATAATAATTTTGGGTTGAAGTGGACCGAAAACTTAATTTTTTGTGTTTTTTGGAGTCGATATATAGGCCACACGGTGGAGGGAATCTGGACAAGTATAGAAGGACTGTACTGAATGTTAGAAATATTCGGAAAATATGGCAGTGTAAGGAAGAGGTGCTGTTGACCTCTAATCGGGCAATAGGGTGCACATATTAGGAATATCAGGCTAGGAATAAAAATCCGCAGAAAGTTAGAGTTCTGTGGTACCTGTGTAGGGTATCGTATGGTCGGCCCCGTTCGACTATACTGCTCCGCTCATTGGTTTAAAAATACTTTTTAAACATCCTATATATAAAAGTCGATTTTTTATAAATTACTTTCTTAAAGGTAAAACTGAGGTCGTAATTTGTATACCCTTAACCACATTGTGGCACAGAGTATTATGTTTTTGGTCGTAATTTTTATACCCTTCACCACACTGTGGTACAGAGTATTATGTCTTTGTGCATATGTTTGTAACAGGCAAAATGAATCGAAATAGACCCATGGTTCCTTTTGAGAATATGCATAGAATCACTTTCTGAGTCGATTTATGCATGTCCGCCTGTCCGTCCATGTATTTTTGTTAACAAAGTACGGATCGCATTTATGATCCGATTTAGATGAAATTTGGTACATGTCACTTATTTGGCCCTAGGACGAACCCTATTGAAATTGGAGAAAGAAAATCCGTTCCGATTTTGGCTAAATGGTGCACCAAACTCCCAATATTGGTCCGATTGAGATAAAATTTTCCACAGTGTATTGAACTAAATCTAGATTGATGTGTGCCAAGTTTGGTTGAAATCGATTCAGATTTGTGCACCAAACTCGCAAAATTTATCCGATTGAGACAAAGTTTGGCACGGCGTACTAGATTAGGTGCAGTTTGATGTGTGCGAAGTTTTGTGGAAATCGGTTCAGATTTTTATATAGCTACCATATATAGTTTTGTCCGATTTTAGGCAAATGGTGCACCAAACTTCCAATATTGGTCCGATTGAGCCAAGATTTTGCACAGCGTACTGAATTCAGTGCAGTTTGATGTCTGCGAAGTTTTCTTAAAATTGGTTCGGATTTGTATATAGCTACCATATATAGTTTTGTCCGATTTTAGGCAAATGGTGCACCAAACTTCCAATATTGGTCCGATTGAGACAAAATTTTCCACAGTGTATTGAACTAAATCTAGATTGGTGTGTGCCAATTTTGGTTGAAATCGATTCAGATTTGGATATAGCTCCCACATATAGTTTTGTCCGATTTTAGGTAAATTGTGCACCAAACTCGCAAAATTTATCCGATTGAGACAAAGTTTGGCACAGCGTACTAGATTAGGTGCAGTTTGATGTATGCGAAGTTTTGAGGAAATCGGTTCAAATTTAGATATAGCTCCCACGTCTGTTCCATATACTCGAGATAAAATTTTGGACAGCATTCTGTGCTGCAGCATACCAAACGTTATATGCCACTATAGTATATATTAGCATCTCTTGTATGTATCCAAAGTGGTGAAGGGTATCATATAGTTGGCTCCGTCCGACTTTGGAACTTTCCTTACTGGTTAAAAATATTTTTTAAGACAAACAACAAGGCGTGAATTTTGAAAAATATTTTTTTTTTTCTAAAATTTGTTATAAGCTTTAAATGATCTGTCGGGAAAGGCAAGACCTGTTTGAATATTTTTACACACCTGTAAAAGTAATTATTATGACAATTGCCCCAAAAGAGTTGTAATTAAATTGTCTATTGTCTCAATACAAATGCGTGAAAAATACTTTTTTCGAGCTAATTGATTTAATGTTTTGCCTTATTTAGTTATTCAATTCAAAACTGGCATCATTCGATTTTTTCATTTATTTTTTTCAATTAAAACGTTTTACGAAAATCTGCTTGCAAACTATTTCCCAGATGTGTTGAATGATTTTTGAGTTTTTTTTTTAGATTATTTTTAGATTAACACTTTCGTTGAAAAGTTGTTGCATAAAAAAATTTTGGCACGTTTTTTGATTTTTTTGTATCCCTCCCCTCCCCCACTTTTTCAGCCATTAAAGATTTGCTTTTTAAAAAAATGGCAATAAAAAATCTCGCCACCCGAAAAAAATGTGTCAAGAAAATTACATTTGACATTTGACATTTGTGGAATTTGAGCAGCTACTTTCTCTTTTGAAAATTTTAATGGTTGGGGAGGGAAATCGGATTTTTTTTTGTTTTAAACAAACAACTTATTTGTGGGATAATTTTGTGTTGAAAAAATTTCCACTATTTTCAGATTAACTGTGACAAATGTTTTTTGTAAGAAAAAAACACAACAACATACACCATAATAAATCAACCAATTTGTTAAAAAAACTATTTGATAGTGATGTGTGGTCCCACCAACCCGATCATCCGACTTAGCTACTTGGCAAATAAATAATCTTCATATCAAATCATTTCACTTCAGTATTCTAATGAGAATTTATTTTCTTTTCTTTCAGCATTTCTGAGTTTGAGTGGCCTGCCGTTGACCGGTGCTGATGGAGGAGCCCATTGGGGTTATCCCGACTATAGCGAAAATGAAGGTAATTTTTTTTTGGTTGTTGATTTGAATTCATGGCGAAATATGAGCCCACTTGACATAATTGTGTAGGAGCAATGGACACAACAACAACAGCAACAATTGCTATAAAGAAGATGATAGTTGTCAGCATTAATGGGGCTACTAATTTAAGATGATATTTATATGCAAACATACATACACACACACTTGGGGGCATAGCAAGCGAACTAAATCCATAAGAATGTGCCGTAGCAAAGGCAAAGTGTTTTGATACCAAACTTAAAAAAAAAAAACAGTGAGGAAAGTAGTAGTCGGACTGGGCCGACTATATGATACCCTTCAACACTTTGGGTATATTCTACATATGTATCCTATAACAGATGTCGCGTTTTTCAGGGAAACTTGCCAGAGACTAATTTATATTACTTTAGTGCGTTGTTCAGTACCTACCCTATATCAAAATTCGTGCAAATCGAAAGATATATAGGGATTTTGATACACCAATTATCATCAATCGGATGAAAATATATATGGGAGCTATATCTAAATCTGAACCGATTTTCACGAAACTTAGCACAAGTCATTCTAGACTTATTTCAGTACGCTATGCCAAAATTCGTGCAAATCGAAAAGATTTGCAGGGACTTTGGTGGACCATTTAGCTAAAATCGGGCGAAAATATATATGGGAGCTATATATAAATCTGAACCGATTTTTATGAAACTTAGCACACATTATTACAGACGCAATTCAGTACAATATGCCAAATTTCGTGCAAATCGAAAGATATATAGGGACTTTGGTGCACAATTGACCTTAAATCGGACGAAAATATATATGGGAGCTATATCTAAATCTGAACCGATTTTCACGAAACTTGACACACATCATTCTAGACTCAATTCATTACGCTTTGCCAAATTTCGTGCAAATCGAAAGATATATAGGGACTTTGGTGCACCATTGACCTTAAATCGGACGAAGGTATATATGGGAGCTATATCTAAATCTGAACCGATTTTCACGAAACTTGGCAGACATCACTCTAGGCTCAATTCAGTACGTTATGCCAAAATTCATGCCAATCAAAAGATTTCAAGGGACTTTAGTGGACTATTTACCTAAAATCGGACGAAAATATATATGGGAGCTGTATCTTAATCTGAACCGATTTTCACGAAACTTGGCAGACATCACTCTAGGCTCAATTCAGTACGTTATGCCAAATTTCGAGCAAATCGAAAGATATATAGGGACTTTGGTACACCATTTACCTTAAATCGGACGAAAATATATATGGGAGCTATATCTAAATCTGAACCGATTTTCATGAAACTTAGCACACATCATTCTAGACTTCATTCATTACGCATTGTCAAATTTCGTGCAAATCGAAAGATATATAGGGACTTTGGTACACCATTTACCTTAAATCGGACGAAAATATATATGGGAGCTGTATCTAAATCTGAACCGATTTTCACAAAACTTGGCAGACATCATTCTAGGCTCAATTCAGTACGTTATGCCAAATTTCGTGCAAATCGAAAGATATATAGGGACTTTGGTGCACCATTGATCTTAAATCGGACGAAGATATATGTGGGAGCTATATCTAAATCTGAACCGATTTTCACGAAACTTAGAACACTTCATTCTACACTTTATTAATTACGCCAAATTTCGTGCAAATCGAAAGATATATAGGGACTTTAGTGGACTATTTACCTAAAATCGGACGAAAATATTTATGGGAGCCATATCTAAATATGAACCGATTTTTTTTCAAATGACCTGTGCCAAATTTCATCAAATTCGGATCATAAATGCGACCAGTACTTTGTTTACAATTTATCATGGACAGACGCACGGACATGCATAAATCGACTCAGAAAGTGATTCTATGCATATTTTCAAAAGGAACCATGGGTCTATCTCGATTATTTTTGCCTGTTACAAACATATGCACAAAGACATAATACCCTATACCACAATGTGGTGAAGGGTATAATTATTTTTGGATAGAGGCGCGGATTTAAAAAAAATCAAGCCTCCAATATAGGCGTGGATTTTTTAAAGAATATTGTTCTAAGGCTCCAAAAAAAAAAGGCGTGGATTTTTTAAAAAATATTTTTCTAAGGCTCCAAAAATAAGGCGTGGATTTTTTAAAAAAATATTTTTCTAAGGCTCCAAAAATAAGGCGTGGATTTTTTAAAAAATATTTTTCTAAGGCTCCAAAAATAAGGCGTGGATTTTTTAAAAAAATATTTTTCTAAGGCTCCAAAAATAAGGCGTGGATTTTTTAAAAAATATTTTTCTAAGGCTCCAAAAATAAGGCATGGATTATTTAAAGAATTTTTTTTTCAAAACACTGTGCCTATTATCTGTCACAAAGTTATTCCAAAAATGTCATAGCTTAGTAGCCCACTTTAATAGGAACTAATCATCTAAAATGTGTATTAAATTGGTAAATTGCCTATGTGTGTATGTATCAAAATCAGGTCAACATGTGTGTCCAAATTTATGATTATTATTTTTAATTTGGAAATCTTAAACAATTTAATTGAAATTAATTCATGAAAAAAAAATCACCCTTTTGCAGAATTTCCAAAATGGGGAGGGGTTTGTGATAGCGGCACCCGCCAATCGCCCATCAATTTAAGTCTGAGAGGTGCCATTAAGGGTGTCTATGAGAAATTGGAGGGTGATAATCATGATAAGACCATTACAGAGGCCTCACTGGTCAATACAGGACATTCTGGTAAGTTGCACCCACAATTCGATTTTTTTCAAAATTGTAATTTTTTATTTCTCCTTTTAGTTCAAATGTCCGATTTCGATGTCGATTTGGAATTGGAGGGTGGCCCGCTCAAGGATGACTATGTCTTGGAACAGATACATTTCCATTGGTGGTCAGAGCATACCATTGAAAATGTCCGTTATCCCTTCGAAATGCATATGGTCCATCGTAATAAGAAATATCCCAATATGACTGTGGCGAATTTGAATAAGGATGGTTTGGTTGTCATGGGTGTGTTGTTCCATGCCTCGTTGGAACGTAATCGTGTTGTGGATGACATTTTGGCGGATTTTGTTCCCATTATGAGTTATGAACAGATTAATATGCCCATTAAAATTAAGACAAATTTCAAAATGACCGATTTGGTGCCAGCCATTACTAGCTATATTACCTATGAGGGTTCATTGACCACACCCTCGTGTAATGAAGTTGTAACATGGATCGTGCTGGCCGAAACATTCCCCATTGGCATTGATCAGGTAAGGATACACATTAAGAATATATTTTGTAGGCCTTTAAAAATATTATTAAAAAATCTCTGTTTCTGCTGGCCCTTGAAAAATATCCCTCCACTCCTTAAGTAGGCCTTGAAAAAATATTCTTTAAAAAATCAAGGGCCTTGAAAAAATATTCTTTAAAAAATCAAGGGCCTTGAAAAACTTAAGGGCCTTGTATAGACCTTGAAAAATATTCTTCGAAAAATCCATGCCTTGAATAGACCTTGAAAAATATTTAAAAAAAAAATCCGCGCCTTGTATAAGCCTTGAAACAATTACTTACTTGCTAAGCAGGCTTGTGACAGAACTTTCGTTCCATAAGCCGAGCTCAGAAAAGATCTCCAGGCGCGTCGGTCTTTTGTGTATTATGTCGATGTCATCGGCGTAGGCGAGTAACATGTGTTGTTTTGGTGTACAGAGTGCCATTTCTGTTCACTTTTGCCTCTCGCATGACCTTCTCCAGCAGGATGTTAAAACGATCACACGACAAACTATCACCTTGTCTGAATGCTCGTTCGGTATTAAAGGGCTCCTGTTAAATTATCCTGCATAGCCGAATTAATTTTGCAGGAATGCCAAACGCAGACATGGCTTTAAACACCTCCGAACGGATAGGGCTGTCGAATGCGGCTTTATAGTCGACAAATCGGTGGTATGTGTCGATGTGCTCTTTTTGTGGGTCTTTTCCAGTATTTGGCGCAGAGTGAAAATCTGGTCAATAGTGGATTTGCCGGGTCTGAAGCCGCATTGGTATGGTCCAATAATGTCATTGATCATTGGCTTCAGTCGTTCACAAAGCACATTGGATAACACTTTATATGCGATGGGAAGGAGACTAATTCCTCTATAGTTGGCACATATCGTCTTGTCTCCTTTTTTGTGCATGGGCCACAGGATGCTGAGGTTCCAATTATTGAGCATACATTCTTCTAGCCAAATTGTACTAATCAGCTGGTGCATGCTCCTAACCAGCTTCTGACCACCAGGTTTCCTTTTTTATCTCTACAGGAGGATGTACCTGCACCAAAGCCTTCGGTTTGGTGTTTTACCCGTTAATAGAATTTTTGGACTTCATTCTGACTCCTGTACATTTCGATTTGCTCACGCTCACGTTTCTCCTCTCTCATTTTCTCCCGATAGTTCTCCATCGCATTACGTGTTGCTACTATCCGCAGGGTTGCCCTATACGCTGCGATTTTCACATCAGTAGCATTACGACACTCCTGATCGTACCACGGATTTCTTGATGGTGGTCTTTGGTGCCCTAGTGTTGCTTTTGCTGCAGTTTGTAGGGAGTGGGCAATTCTCTGCCTTCGTGCTTCTATATTATTATCGGTACAAGGGGCGTTGAGCGGAGTAGGCTTCTGCTATCTGTTGTGTTTGCAGATTTTCGACGTCAAATTTCCGTGTTACATTAGATCGAACCTTGGCTGCCACAAGGTAATGGTTCGAATCGATATTCGCTCCCCGGGTCGATCGGACGTCTAAAACACTGGATAAATGCCTTCCGTCTATCACAACATGATCGATTTGATTTCTCGTTGTTCGATCGGAAAAGATCCAAGCGGCCTTCTGTATATCGAGATGCTAGAATCTGGTGCTGCTAACTACCATGTTTTTTCTGCCGTTATCTGATGTTTCTTCATGAAGGCTGAATTTTCTGACGGTGGGCCCAAAGATATTTTTTCTTCCGATTTTTACATTAAAATCTCCTAGCGGAATTTAAATGCCGTTATCTGATGTTTCTTCATGAAGGCTGAATTTTCCGACGGTGGGGCCAAAGATATTTTTCCTTCCGATTTTTGCATTAAAATCTCCTAGCGGAATTTAAATGTCATGGTCTGCTCATCTTTGTCTTCGGTCGGAGCATGGGCGCAAATAAGACTGATGGAGAAGAACTTCGCTTTTATACGGATTATAGCTATTCGCTCATCTACGGGATTGAATCTGGAGACTCGGTATTGTATTCTCCTGTTAACCATAAATCCCCAGCCAAATTCATGTGTCGTTTTATGACAGCTAAAATACAGTGAATAATCATCTGATTTACTTACGCCAGTCCCTTTCCATCGCATTTCCTGTTAGGCAATAATATCGGCTTTGTACTTCTTGAGTACGTCCGCCAAAGCGAACACTGCGCCTGTTCTGTACAACGTGCGCACATTCCAAGTGCAGATTCGCAGATCGTGGTCCTTTTAATGTTTGCGGGGTCGTCAATATTAGGGGGTTTGGTTTTCTTTTTCATTGCTTTTTCGTAGTAGGTTGGGTTTTCCGAGAGTGGGCAACTAACCCGACGTCTCAACCCATTTTTTTTTATAGTTCTTATGGGTGAACTCGAGGCACATATTAGCTCACTATTTCAACGGGTGATGAAAATAGCTACCTCAGGTGTTACCGCGGGGAGGTCAGTGTCCATAATTGAGATGAAAGAGAGACCAAGATAAGCCTGGAATTCGCCATGTTAAAGCCAATCAGAGCCGTTGCTTGGTATCTATCTTCCCCTACGCCACGCCCTTGAAAAAAATATTCTTAAAAAAAGCCACGTCTATATTGGAGGTTTGAACAAAATATTCTTTAAAAAACCACGCCTTCGATAGGAGGCTTGAAAAACTATTCTTTAAAAAATCCGCACTTTTCTACACTATGAAAATATATTTTTAAAATAATTTATTTATAAATTTATTTCTTCTTTCATTTCCAGGTCGAAGCCTTTAAATCATTGGAATATGAACGTGGAAAAACACTGGCCAATAATTATCGCGTCATCCAAAAGACCAATGATCGGGCCGTTATCATCGTCACCAATGAGTTCAGAAAAGATTCAGGAAATGGTTCAGGCTCATTGAAATCCACTGGATCGGTGACAGCCCTGCTTGTCGTAGCTGGATTATTGTTTAAATATTTCAATTGAATATAATATTTATTTATTGTGGTGTAGATAATTCATTTTCATTGACTACGACATTATGCTCTCTCAATACCGCTCGCGCTCTCTCTCTCTCTCTCTCTCTCTAACTCTCTAAACAAAAGAGTATACCAAAGATATAATTTATAAAATATTATTAATAATAATGTTCACCTAATTATGTGTGTTATAATTTAAGACTAAATATCTATATATGTATATTTATTTTATATATATGTATGTAGTGTTACATTCATTCTGTCATTCATTTGTGTTGTCGTACATAGTTCCTCTAAATTAAATTAAAAAAAAACAAAATATTTAATTTAAGCTGAACAAAAAAAAAATAATAATAATAATAATAATATAAATATAAATATAAATCTGCATTTTATTTAAAAAAATCCGTTCAATCATAACGACATGTATCTCAAATAGTTTATAACAGGAAACAACAACAAACAAATCATTGACAACGAAACATTCAAAAGAAACAAATTGTTAACTATCTTGTTAATTGAAAATTTAAATTAAGTGTTTGTATATTTAATTTAGCTATTAATTATGCACTGTTATTTATTTGGCAACTTACAAAAATAAGAAGAAGATTTTGTTTTTATTAATTACGATTTACAATGAATTTGCTTAAATTTTTAAAAATGCTTTGCTTTCGATTTATTTCTGCTACTAGTCAATGTCAATATTGCGTTTATGCAAATGTGTTGAAAAATAAATAAAAAATATAAATTAAAAAAATATATATTATCGTTGTGTTTTAATCACTGTATATTAAGGAAAATTAAAATAATGTGGGTCTTTAAAAACACACGCCTTTGTTGGTTTTAAAAAAAAATATTCCAAAAAAATTCACATGTCTTTGTGGGTCATTAAAAAAATATTTTAAACAAATCCAGACATGTGCTGATCTTTAAAAAATATTTAAAAAAAAATCACATCCTTGTTGGTCTAAAAAAAAATAAAAACCAGTGAGCGGAGCAGTATAGTCGGACGGGGCGGACTATATGATACCCTACACAACTACCACGAAAAGCAAACTTTCGGCGGTTCTATATTCTGAGCCTGGGCAATATTTCTTGATATTTGCACTCTTTTCACCGATTATAAATCAACAACTCTATTTTCTAAGCTTTGCATATTTTCCAAATTGTTTTTTCTTGAAGTGAATTTTTACGCCATAAAATAAATAAAAATTGGTCACTTTAGGTTTTGGTATATTTGACCCTCAGAATATTGACCGATCATCATCTAAACAGCCGCTCTAAGTATTTGGTCAGATCCCCTTCACCTTGTAAAATATGTGAGGTCTGCATATAATAATTGCCACTGGAGCTACTAGAAAATCTGGCAAAATTAAAGTTTTCGGTTCTTTGCACCCCCTGAATGAAATCTCAACTTCACCGAAAACTATAGGCGTCGTCCTTGACCATAATCGGAAATACATACACAATTTCAAAGCGATCAGCGCGACATTTCCGTCCTCTAATGGAGTAATAGTAATACAATGCACATAGTCACCTTTACCTACAGCCATATAATTGGTATCAATTTAAAGGTCAACCACTCCTCTTCGATACACTATCAACTTCTCGGGTATATGTCCTTCAGGAGTAAATATATACGCCATACAATACAAATTTTGTAATTTTTCACACAAAAGTCAGGGTCCATTTGACCCGCTAAATATAGACCGATTTTTATCAAAACGGGAATGCTTATTCTTTGGCCCAATCCCCTTCTCCATGCAAAAATTCGCGGTGTTTGGGCCATAATTGCGGCCTCTGGAGCGACCAGAAAAATTGACAAAAATAAAGTTTTTGGTCTATTTCATCCCCTAAATATTAACCGATCTTTCCCAAAAACAATAGGGGTCTTCATTGGCCAGAACCAATCATACATGCAAAATTTCGTGAAGATTGGTCCATAACTGTGGCCTGTATCGTGTTTAAAAATTATAATGGACAGACGGACGGACACACATGTCATGATCGACTCAGCTAGTCGAGATATGACGATCGGTATACTTAAAGGTGGGTCTAGGACCAATATTTCGCGGCGTTACAAACTTTTGGGGCTGCACAAAGCTATAATACCCTGAAAACACCACAGTGTGGTGAAGGGTATAAAAATCCACACCTTGGTTGGTTTAAAAACAATACGGTTTTAAAAACCCAGATCTTTGTTGGTTAAAAAAAATATGTTTTACAAACCCAGACCTTCGTTGATCTTTAAAAAATATTTTAAAAATTCACACCTTTGTTGATTTTTAAACAAAATTTTTTTCTTTAATTATACCCTACACAACTATGTTGTCAGGGTATGATAGCTTTGTGCAGCCCCAAGAGTATGTAACGCAGCGAAATATTGGCCGTAGACCCACCATTAAGTATTCCGATCGTCATATCTCAACTAGCTGAGTAGATCTAAACATGTGTATCCGTCCGTCTGTCCATTATAATTTGTAAACATAATACAGGCCACAGTTATGGACCAATCTGCCCAATGAAGATCGGGTAATATCTAATACATAATTTTGGTCAGCTTTTCTGGTCGCTCCAGACGCCGCAATTATGTTGCAAACATCGCGAATTTTTACATGGAGAAGCGAATCGGGCTAAAGACTAAGCATGCCCGTTTTGATAAAGTTTGGTCAATATTTAGCGGGTCAAATGTACACTGACTTTTTTGTGTGAAAATTACAACATTTGTATACTGGGGCGTATATATTTACTCCTGAAGGACATATACCCGAGACGTATCCAAGAGGAGTAGTTGACCTTTAATTTAATACCAATTGCATTGTCGCATGTACTCGGATGTGTAAGTTACACATAAATACTTACAGGTGCTTACATATTCAGATATTATTTAGTAATTCATTACCACACTGGATGGCGGAAAAATAGCGCTGATCGCTTTAAAATGTTCCACGAGGTTCCAGTTATGGTCAAGGACAATGCCTATAATTTTCTGTGATGATCACATAATAATTATACTCTTCGCCACACTGTGGCATATGTTTGTAACAGGCAAAAGGAAACCAGATAGACCCATCGTTACTTTTGAGAATATGCAGAGAATCACTTTATGAGTTGATTTATGCATGTCTGTCCGCCCGCCCGTCCGTTTGTTGGTGTTAAATTGTAAACAAAGTACATGTCGCATTTATAATCCAAATTGAATGAAATTTAGAATAGCTCATTTATTTGGCCCAAAAACGAACCCTTTTGAAATTGGGAAAAATTTGTGAAGATTTAGATATAGGTCCCATATATATTATCGTCGAAATGGTGCACCAAATTCACAAATTACAAAATTCTTTTAAAATTCCATTAAAAAAATTTTGAAAAATTTTTTTGCGAGCACATTTATGATTTTTGGTACATAGGTTAAGAAAAATATGCTGATTCGAAATCTGCGTTCACAAATTCGGATGCTGCGCACAAAAGTTATAGCGGTTTTAAATCTTGTCTTTCAAATATAAATTAAATGGATTCCTATTCGTTGTAATTCGCGAATTTCTTCACAAATGCTTAAACACCATTGTTTTCTTTGCATACTAGTCAAATCACACTGAAGTACGGTTTAATAGTCGCGAAAAACAAATAGAAACATGAAGATAAATATGAAAATAAAATAAATTAATTTTTGCATTAAAACAAACATTTTTTTGGAATTTTCGATTTTTTTAGTATGGTTAAGAGGATACGGTTTTGCCTTAATCTTCTAAAATATACGACACTTTCTTCTGCAAATTCTTTTAGATGATTGTTAAATATCGGTAGATTCATCTGATAAGAGTTTCGACGTCATTAATGGCTAAATATATTGCAATTACAATACATAAAAATGATCAATATTGAAAAGCTTGCAATTCGTGAATTAGATGAAATCAGTTGATGCGCATGCGATTTTCGTATAAACCGAATCAATGTCTTTCAATAATTATGAATTTTTCGATATTTAATATAGCGGTCAAAGTGTGCCACTCGATGCACTTTACACTTTATGCATCGATGCACGATGCACTTTACTATGAAAAAACCATAAAAATGGCTTAAAATGACGCAACGTGCATACGATTTTTATGCGCATCCGATTTCAGTAATCTCCTATGAAAATACACAAAAGGACACCTATTTTAAAAGGATCGGTTAAGAACCGCGGATGTGCCTCCACAATCAATTTTGGATAAAATACGCATATTATTCGCGTATTGATGTTTTTTTGACCTATTTCCACTCAGATTCGCGAATTTGACAATACAAACATAAATGCATGTAAAATTAATTCGAAGAAAACCGCGATTATTTACGCGAATTTGTCAAAATAAGTTTTTGCAGTTTTTCCCACATTCAAGGTACCTATATCCGCCGTTATATTGGACGGAATTAAACATGGATGGGCTCATTAGATCCGGCACGTAAAAAAACTAAACGGAATTTGAATGGACTTTCTTAATTTTAGACTCAAAAAATATGTTTTTTATAAAAATTTGCGCACCAAATTTTCGTCTTTGGAACCCAATTGCAAAGAAGCTACAGTGAGCACATTCGTGAGATATACATTAAACGAAGCAGAATCACGAGTTCTACAATCCTATAATTAGTTTATTCTATTATCTGGAAGCGCATCCTAATTATAAGAAAAATTAAAAAAAAAAAAACACGGAAAATCCGGCTTCAAAATGTCTGCATCCATTTTGGGTGGATGCAGTGATTATATCGAAAAATCATACATTAGAACCATATTGTCCATGGGGTATTCTGCAACTTAGTCACTGATCACATGTGCGTGCGTTGTGTAGTTTAGCCAAAAATCGGGAACGAACACAAAAAAACTCGTTGGCTTCAACACATTTTCACCCATTTTCTACATTACCACCATCACAGCTTCCACGCATCTTATTATTTATTTGGGTAAATACTCAAAATAGGGGTACCATTGTATGGGGGCTACCAGTTGCATGGACATTTGGTACCCAAAAA